TATTTATACATAAAATGTTTCATGTAACTACAGATACCACACTATTTTTAACAAATTCAATTAGCATTGTATTTCTTTTTCTTTTTAAATTTTTATTAAGGTATTGATATACACTCTTATGAAGGTTTCACATGAAAAAACAATGTGGTTACTACATTTAACCATATTATCAAGTCCCCACCCATACCCCAATTCAGTCACTGTCCAACAGTATAGTAAGATGCCACAGATTCACTATTTGTCTTCTCTGTGCTACACTGTTTTCCCCGTGATCCCCCACACCATGTGTACTAAACATAATACCCCTCAATCCCCTTCTCCCTCCCTCCCCACCTGCCCTCCCAAACCCTTCCCCTTTGGTAACCAATAGTCCCTTCTTGGAGTCTCTGAGTCTGCTGCTATTTTGTTCCTTCAGTTTTAGCACTGGGTTTCTCATTTGAATACAGCATGATAAAATTGGTATTTTTCTCTTTCCATCCTGAAAAATCACCTAAAAGCAACATAAAGAACTTCTCGAGGAACACAAACCCTGTTCTCAGAAAAATTAGGAGACAAACCACAAAATGATTAGAAAGACTGCCAAAAACAACAGAGATAGAGCAGGGGTGGGTGCATGCTGTGGGCAGCAGAGAGAAAGCTCTAGGTGCAGGTGTTACAAAGAACAAGGCACACTTTGAAGGTGTTGGGTGTACCCTAAGTTTTAAACCCTTGTTGGTATCAGTGGAAACAAGGTGCATGGGCAGACAGCCAGAACCATCCTGGATGTGGTTTGGTTCCTAACAGTATAGAAGGAACAGTGATAAGGAATAGCATGAACTGTATTTGCAAAGAGAAATCTATCTCTGTGGCTATGTGAGAAAAGAGACTTTGTCTATCTCGACAGACTGGAGCAAAATAAAGGAGAAAAAGAACAGGAAAATCTAAAAGCCAAAAAAGAACATTCACAATAAAAATGGTACAATTGAGCAGGTGAAATCATTACAAATACTTTGCCATTAACAAAACTTAATTGTGCAATCAACTCTAACTTGGGAATTATAAAACATGTATGATGATAAACTTTTATTGACTAGAAGGATAATGACTAATGTAATCAATCACTTACCTCTGATTCATATTTTATTTTTTCTTCTTCTAAAGTACGTGCAAATTCTCCTTTCTGGTGTTCAAATTCTGATTTGAGAAATGTATGTTCATAGCGAAGCTTATTGTATTCAGCTCTGTACTTTTCAACTTCCTAAATAAAATGGAGACTGCAATGTATCACAGATTTTTAAATGAAATTTGTACTCATTCCAAAATCACTTTTGCAAATATAATTTTAAACTGCATCATACTGAAAGTCATTCTAAAAGTAACATATAAGCTTAACAGAATTGTAAATAAACGTTGGAAGTTTTTATGACAAGTATCCTACATAGAGATTTAGTGCATTCCTGAAAAGTTACCCATAAAGCAAATTACCATTCAACTAACCTTATGTCTGCACTGGTTCTTATAATGATAAAAATGTGTAGCATGTCAAAAGTTTTGACCTTGGGCTTAATAAAATAATATTCAAGAATACAGTATACCTTTCAAAATACAGTTAGATTTAAAAAATTAATTATCTAATAAAATATAAAAAACGTCCCCTTAAAGTCAGGGTGAATTCAAACTGGATGAGAGATTATTTGAAATAGTTACTATACTAACTTAAGGTTCAATCAAATATTATGATGACAGTTTAACTCGTTATCAGTCTGAAGACTGTGTATAGCACCAACTCTCCTGACTAACTAGAAACACATGAAATCCCCTGGCATGCCACCTATACTTCCTAACATTAAAAAATTGCTGGCACTCTTAAACTCAACTTAGGCAAGAGAGGAGAAAGATAAAGGAATTCCATGCATCAGGAAATTGAATAACATGCATTAGGAAATTAAAACAACATGCCTTAGGAAATGAAGTAACAAGGCAGCTCACTGTAAATCTTCATTTGCAAGATTTCTCTTCAAGGCCAGTTTACAACCCAAGAAAATGGGTTTCATGATTTTATTAGAGACATACTTTCTTTTGATATTTTTTAATGTTTTTACTTATCTTGATCACCTGCCTTAGTGATTTTCTTTCCATCCAAAAATTAAATCTACCCTCAAACCATAATGCTTTGGTTATCCAGCAGGAGGACATTCACAAGATGACACTATCAAGCCAGTAATCCACTTAAATAAGAGGATTCCACAACTGTTCTGTGCACTGGTAGCATCACTAGACTACGGCTTTCCAAAGGGATCCATTTTGAAGAGGACAATACTCCTTTGTTATGTGCAAGGCGCAGTATATTTGTTAAATAAGGTTACATATATAAAATGTACAGCATAGTCATGATATCTCTCATTTTTTCCTGTTCCCTTTATTAAACATTTAGTTATATTATACCAACATTTCATATAAGGAGACTTATCTCAATCTGAAGGAAAACTGTTAACAAGTTTTTACTTCTTTGAGGTTGCATGAAATTCATTCTTTCATTCAACAAATATTAACTGAGCACTTACTATATACTAGGAACTGTTTGTGGAATTTGAAATGTAACAGTGAGCCAGATTCCTTCTCTCATGCAACTTAAAATTTTAGAGGTGGTAAAAGAGGAAAAAATTTTCAAAGGCACAATAAATATTATATATCATATTAGAAGATGGTAAGTACCAGAGAAAAATGTAAAGAAGAGTAAGTGGGGACTCAAAGGTCAAAGGAGTGATAGGAAAGACATGCTGCAATATTAAATGAAGGCAGGAGTTGGTCAAAGAAGGTTGGTAAAGTGATAATCTGGAAGGAGTGTTCAAGGCAGAGGTAATAGCTAGAGCAAAGACTCTTAAACTGCACCACTCCTGGAGTGCCAAAGAAACATCAAGGGGGCCAATGTGGAGGGAGGAAAGAAGTCAGAGAGGTAATGAGCTCCAATCCTCTGCAGCCTTACAGACCACCAAGAGGACTCTGAGTAAGAAGGGAACCTATTACAGGGCTTCTGAGTAAGAAAGTGGTGCTTTTCATCAAGACTTTCACAGCCACATGAAAAAAAATGCATAGTTCCTTCTATATAAATTACTTACTTTCTGGATAACCTAGAAGAAATAGACACATTTTTTTTTTTAAGAAAAATACAAGCTTTCAAGACTAACCCAGGAAGAAACAGAAAATCTGAACAGACCTATTAAGAGCAATGAAATTGAATCAGTAATCAAAAAACTACCCAAGAACAAAACCCCTGGACCAGATGGCTTCACTGATAAATTTTATTAGACATTTACAGAAGACATAATACCCATTCTCCTTAAAGTTTTCCAAAAAAATAAAAGAGGAGGGAATACTTCCAAACTCATTCTATGAAGCAAGCATCACTCTAATACCAAAACCAGACAAAGACACCACAAAGAAAGAAAACTACAGACCAATATCCCTGATGAACATAGATGCAAAAATACTCAACAAAACATTAACAAACCAAATTCAAAAATACATCAAGAGGATCACACATCATGATCAAGTGGGATTCATCCCAGGGATGTAAGGATGGTACAACATTTGAAAATCCATCAATATCATCCACTGTATCAATAAAAAGGACAAAAATCACACGATCATCACTCTAGATGCTGAAAAAGCATTTGACAAAATTCAACCCTATTCATGATAAAAACTCTCAACAAAATGGATAGAGAGGGCAAGCACCTCAACATAATAAAGTCCATATATGACAAACCCACAGCTAACATCATATTTAACAGTGAGAAGCTGAAAGCT